CTATTTCAAAAATACCATTTAAATTTTGGTTTTCCAAAAATATCACAAAAATAAAATTAAACTTTCAACCTCCATCCATAATCTCTCAAAGAGTATCTCAAACAATAAAATTAAAATGAGACCACCTCCATCAAAGAGTTCTAAAGTATTAGAGGAGTTCTCAAAATAATAATTAAATAGTAAAAGGGTTTTCAAAAGAGGAGAGAATGTGTCTATGAGAACCTCTCTCTCCTCGTTTGAGAACCCCTCCTCATATTTTATTTATATTTTGTTTTATATAACTTTTTTTGAGAACTCCTCTAGGAACCTTAGATGGAGATGCGAGTCTCTAAAAATTTAGAAATTCACCTCAAAGTTTCTCATTTGAAAGACTTAACACCAAAATTTCTTAATTTTGAAAATCCATGTAATATTTTAATAGTATTTATTTTTAATGTATTTTGAGATATTTTTTAAGAGACTATGGATGAAGGTGGTCTAACATTGTTAACCTAAACCTAAAAATTTAAGTTATAAACCCTTGAAAACCAAAACTTTTGGTGATATTTTTGGAACATTAAACAAATAGTCATAGTTTGGAAACAAAACTTGAAAGTGTATAACTTACTCAGCGAGGAGTTCACGTTTTCTTGTCGATTCAGCGGATCCTGTTTCATCCAAAAGTGAGTAGAAAGAATCTTGTGTCTTGAAGGTGTTGATCGTGTTGTAAACCTAGAAATCATTAGGAGATTACTTGTACGTCAAGAAACCTATTTAGAAACTAGTTGTAAGTAAAGAAACCTATTTATTTTCACTTACAGTAATTGGCTCATCCCCTTCAAGTTCCACCGTAGTCTCGAAAAGTCTATCTTTCATGCTCGCTGCAACGGTCATGACCCAAGGTGCACCGTTGATGAGAGCGTAATAGCCATCCTTGCCTGAGTTCCCGGCCACGGCTGAAGTCAAAATCCCATTCTTAAGTGCTCTCAAAAATGCCCACGAGACATGATCTTCTTCCATCGGAACCGGATAATCCCACCCCTGGGAATACGAGATGATGTCGACCTTGTCCTTGATTGCATCCTCTACTGCCGCCAAGGCTGTATGTTGTGGACAAATTAAAACCTCTGTACCATTTTTTCTTATTTTCCAACATGTTTTGTAGACAGCGATCTTTGCGTTGGGAACACCGCCTCTCACTGTGCCTTTTGCTAGCCCGAAGTAGCTCGCCTTCTCTATTTCTCTGCCAGCAACAATGGAGGCTACGTGCGTGCCGTGTCCCACCACGTCAATCACCGAATTCTCTTCAGTCACATTGTAGTCTTTCTTATCTAGGTAGTATGATCGAGCACCAACGATCTTGCTGCAATTTTAGTTTGGATATAGTAAGGTTTAGTCCAAGAATCCTAACCATGTCAATCATATTTGTTTTTATTATATGATAATTAAAGGTTTCTATAAGAGTGTGAAGAATGATAGAGTTTTGAGCCCAAACCAAGCCCACACAAATCTTTGGGTGGACCAGTGGTCCAAACAACCTTTTAGATACCAAATGAAAATATAACGAATTAAAGAAAAAGGTTAATAATGAAAATTGTAGTATACTTGTTGCAAGTTATGTTTTGGCATTTGTTTTGCCAAGCTGGAGGAGGAGGACTGTCGCTACTGAAGAGCTCAGAGTAAGGCCAAATGCCTGAGTCGATGACAGCCACCACCAAATTACTCTCATTCATGGGATTTCTCTGAGCTGCTAATGTTAGATTCATGAAGTCCCATGATCTTGTCGTGTGAAGCTTTAGATTTCTACTACGTGACACTTGTAATACCTCTCTTCTCCCTGCTCAACCAACGTCAACATATTCCATGTCCTTACTATGCATTGAAATTTATTGAACGTACCAATATATATATTAATATATGTATAGTACTCATATAGGTTCAACAACGAAGTTTGTATTTGCGTTTATAATAATAATCATTTGTAAGGAAACAATTGTAGTCGTCTTACTCTTCAGATTTTGCCGTTCGCTATGTGTGAGTCTTGCCGAGAAACCGGTGAAGCTCTCCCTATAGCTGTAGATGAGTGCATTCGATACGGTACTGCATGTGTTAACATACAAACCCACATAATTAGTTCATAGGGACATTTAACCATAATCCTCAATTTTCTGTATAAAGTGTAAAGCATGATTAAAACCTATTATCATCGAGAACTTCGCGGAGTAGTTCCTGGTGACCGGAACTTGACCCATATCGATGCCCTCCAACTTTCATCTGCACGAGGTATATCTGAGCCATACACAAAGAAATAAGTTTTTTTTTTTTTTTGCTAAAATTTGATCAAAGAAAGAAGTTATATGTTAACATCCAAACATTATTCGTTACGCAAAATTTGACCTATAAATAAAAGCATTGAAATATGGGATACTAGTAATGGAATAGTGTTTCTGATTAGTGTCAATTAAACGAGAAATATATACCAATCTAAATAATAAACAAATATTATGGATTTAGTGTCGATTGTGAATAGAGAGAAAGATCCATTTTTCGCACCTTTCGCGGGTTGTTTGCTTCCGCATGAGAAGCAAAGAAGAAGAGTATCAGTTGAAGTAGGAAGGTCTGTAAAGCTATTGCCATCACTCACTCACTAAAACGATCTTTTTTTCTTTAAGGTTTATGTGAGTATGTTGCAATTCATGTATATGCTTAGTGCATCTATTTATAATAAAAGTTCGTGAAGGAGATTAGGAGAAAAGGACTGAATTAAGAAGAAGAAAAGTGAAGGAGAAGATTAATATCAAAACAATCGTGCAAAAGTTTATCAATCAATTTAAAAGAATCTTATTCTCCGATTATGAGCTGCATGCTTTTTTTTAGTGATTCTTGAGGAAGACCAAGGTAAAAAAAAAAAAAGTCTACATTTTACTAATAAATCAAGAAAATGTCAGGATGTAGTCGATGAGCCTTCCATTTACACTTGGCGTTTGCGTTTTAAGTTTACAAAACATATTTTTTTATAGAAAATTGAAAATGTATCTATTTCAAAAATGTGATTTTTACGGACTTTGGTCCAAAATTTCATGATAATTTTTTCTTTAAAAAATATGATTTTTTTGTAGTTTAATTCTCTTGTAAACGTAAATACAATTTTTTTGTTTAAATCAATCTATGTATAGAATAGAAAATACAACAATTATATTAAGCCGCATTGCTAACTTCTCCAACCAAATAATACAAATGAAAATAGGAAATTTTTGAGGATACTATGATCCATTATACGCACGTTGTATAATTTTTTGAGGAAATCGACTAAGAGTATAGGAACATATGACTTTGATATGACAAGGACATATATAGGTTGTCTTAAGGAATTGGATGCATATGGTTTTGGTTCCCGTTTGCAACAAAAGTTACATTTTACAAGCTTATCTCTTCGTGTTTATTTCTCATCCACAATAAACAACAACATATCAATTTCACTCCCTCTAATTATTATATTCTTATTTTATTTCTCGAGTCCACCAAAACGGATCACATATCACTTCACACACGATGATATACCTTACGAGTGGACATTTCTTGATTAATTTCATTAGCTCACATGAACATTTAGATGCTCATTCGATTTTGATGCTAGTGAAGATGACCCATATGTGTTAATATGCTCTTCCACTTTCACATTCCGTTTACGAGACAGCTTTTTTTTTTATATAATCATTCATTTCATTTGGTGTTCTAAAATCCAAGAAACGATCATAAGCAATGTACACACCAGCTATGTGCTTTTTCAACAGGTAGACGAAAATCATGAAAACCTTTAAAAGAAGATAGACAGCAACAAAAAAATATGCAGAAAGTGAATTTGCGGAAGAAAGAGGTCAGAAGACTAAAGGTTTTGCTTCTCTCCAAGAGTTCTCTCACTACCATCAGTACAAACTTTATAGCCAAATCTTCAATGGTTTGAATCAATTTCTCGAGCAAGACCAAATCCATCTGCGAAAGAAGGAAAAATCCATTAGATATTACGCTTAACAGAGTTGTGTGTTTGACTTGTTAAGGAAGAACATGAACAAATCACTGCATAAGTATCCTTTCATTCACTTGTTTCGTTTGGGTTTGCCAAGGAAAGACTATTGACTTACCTCTCAATGAAAGGATCAGCTCTTTGTGGACATCATGAATTTGGTTTTCTTCTCTGCGGGCTTCAAAATCTGAAACGAGCACATAAGGTTCTCGTCCACGCTCATCATCGCACCAGCATTATCAAATTCACCGCAGTAGTTAGGAGCTGAAAACACTGTCACGAGTTGTCTATCTGCAAAGAACTCATAACCATCCTCCACGACCTGCCATAAGAAATTCATTGTATTTCCTTGTTAACATCACGACAGCAGTAGAATCAAAGAGAGGCATGATTGAAATATATACCTGATGGGCACGGCACACAAGGTCAAGATCATGCTTTGTTAGAAACTCAGAGACTTTATCCGGACCAAAGGTGTAGGAAACACCTCTATCATTCATTCCCCATCCTTTAACATCTTTCCCAGGATCAGACCAGAGCAAATCACAGAGCAGTCCAGTGTCGGGAATCATAGTTGGACGAGGCAAGCTTCTAATCTCATCCAAATGGTTTAGATCCGGCGAAAGTCCACCGTGCATGCACAATATTTTGTCATCTATAAGCGCCGCAACAGGAAGGCAATTAAAACAGTCTGTAAAAACCTTCCATACCCTCACGTTGAACCTCCTTTTACATTCATCATAAAATCCATATATCCGATTGATAGAAGCGCATTCGTGGTTTCCCCTTAGTAGAAAAAAGTTCCCTGGGTATTTGATCTTGTAAGCTAGCAAGAGACATATTGTTTCAAGACTTTGTTTGCCTCGGTCCACATAGTCCCCAAGAAATAGATAATTGGCACTAGGAGGGAAGCCACCATACTCAAAAAGCCTCAGCAAATCACTGTACTGCCCATGTATATCACCTGGTTTAAGACATATACACACCACAAAATCATGAGGGAAATCGTAGAATGGGATTGGATTTACCATAGAGTGAACAGTTACTAAATGGGATTGGATTGGATTCTACTTGCTACAGAACATCAATCAAAGGCTCCTCCATTTTCCAATCTTCACACACAGTAAGTAGCCATGTTAACATATCCAGTTACCTACTCACTAAAGCTTGATACCTCAAAACCAAAACGGATCTTTCACAATGTTCAACAACATTATCCCACTAAGAGCATCTGAGCTAGAGAAAGATTAGTGATACACACAAGTTCACACTTTCAAAGACACAAATTAACCCCAAAAAGCGAACAATCGAAAACCCCAAAATTAACCAAAAGACCTTAAAATCAGCGATCTCAAAATCCAATTCGATAAAGAAAACATTACCACAAATTTTGATGGGTGCTTCAAGCTCAAGCAAATTGGGTTGTTGAAGGAAAATATCTCTAGCTGTAGTACAGAGCTGTTTGATCTCAACCTCCGAGAGCTGGACTTGCTTCCCTGGTCTAGCTAACCGAACCTCCGTGAGTCGTCGGATTATATCATCCAGAACCGCCGTGTCAATCGCCGTTTGCTGACCCTG